TTTTTTTTTTTTTTTTTTTGGTTTGGTTTTTCGAGACAGGGTTTCTCTGTGTAGCCCTGGCTGTCCTGGAACTCACTCTGTAGACCAGGCTAGCCTCGAACTCTCGAACTCAGAAATCGCCTGTCTCTGCCTCCCAAGTGCTGGGATTAAAGGCGTGCGCCACCGCCGCCCGGCAGTAACAGGGAATTTAAGATTTGGTTTAGTTCTAGTTAAGCTTAACAGCTGAGGATACTCATGCTTTTTTATTCTGTCTCTCTGTCTCTCTGTCTCTCTGTCTCTCTCTCTCACACACACACACACACACACACACACACACATGCACCAATGTTCACACAGAGAGAGAAAAAGGAGACACACATCTCTTCTGCTTATTGTGAAACCATACTAACACCCCTCTCCTGGCATCTTTATATAATGGAGAATAAAATACTATAGAAAATACATATACACATATGTATACATACATGAGCGTCCATTCATTTCTACCAATTGAAAGATAAGGATAAGAGGAAAGGTTCCATACCCTCAAAGGGTTTGAAATGGGGTTTTTTGTTTATTGTTTTTTTTACATGTAGTGTGTGTGTGTGTGTGTGTGTGTGTGTGTGTGTGTGTGTATGTATGTGTACCAAGTGGTAATCAGAGAACAACTTGCAGGGACTGGCTCTTTCTTTCCACCATGTTGAATCCCATGAGGCTTAGAAGCAAGTGCTTTTATGCACTTCTGGCCCGGACATGTTTTAAAGCAAGCCAGTGAAATAATTAGCAGGTAAAAGTGGATTTCACTGAGGAAGAGAGAACTGACTACTCAAACTTGTTCTCTGACTGCCACACACATACCATGTGCACTCGTGCATACACTCCTCACCACGCTATCCTAGCTAGCCTGGAACTTGCTATGTAGACCAGGCTAGACTCCAACTCACAGAGATCTGCCTGTCTCTACCTCTACTTCCCGAGATTAATACTGTATTTGGTAGACATCAGTAAGATTAAAATCAATCAATCAAACAAACAAACAAAAAACCCCACACATACACACACACATTTTTTTAAAATGTTTTAAAAAACAGGTACCTGGTATCGCCTGTATCCTTTTTGAATGCAAACCCCAAGATAGCTATCTTCTTATCGGTCACTGTATTAAACAGGCTGTCTATGATCCGTGATGCAAACCTTCTCCTCTGGTAGTCATTCATGTCTATGACCTGAAATTATATGTATAATGTAAAATATTAGCTTACAAAAGTATAGTCTAGGACATACATGTGGTTTTATAGTAAATTCTACTATACAAATATACAGCTTCCATATTAATGACAAAGTTTACCTAACACTTTGTTATTTAGATTTAAATCTGCTTGTTGTAGTCTTTTTGTTTTGTTTTGTTTTTTGTTTTTCAAGACAGGGTTTCTCTGTATAGCCCTGGCTGTCCTGGAACTCACTTTGTAGACCAGGCTAGCCTCAAACTCAGAAATCCACCTGCCTCTGCCTCCCAAGTGCTGGGATTAAAGGCATGCGCCACCACTGCCCTTAAATCTGAAAATTAAAAATCCACCAATTGCCAGATGTGGTGGCACACACCTTTAATCCTAGCATGTGGAAGGCAGGCAGAATTCTGAGTTCTGGGCTAGTCTGGTCTAGAGAGCAAATTACAGGACAGCTACAGGTATACAGAGAAACCCTGTTTTTCGAAAGACAAAATGGACAAATAAGTAAAATAGTAATAAAATACACCAATTCCCTTCCTTAGAGCCTTCCTGAAATGAAATGTTCACTTTCTTTTACTTGATCTGCTGTGAGTGAAGCTGGGGTGGATGAGAAGATGGACCACATGGCTAGGCTTGAATTCTGAAGGCATCTCAGATCAGCTACAAGGCAAGCCTAGATAAGGCATACCTGCCGGCAGCTTCCTTAACCCCTCATAGGCTCAACTCACCGGTCACCAGAGCTTACTGTGAGAACAGAGCGGGAGCTGCTTCTGCACAAACCCTGACATCACAAGTACTTGATAAGCTTTCACCCAAATATCTAAGAGCAAGAGAGTCTGAGAGCGTCTGACACCAAGTCTAAATGGCAGATGATGTAAACACAGGGGAAAGAAGCTTTTTCAAAACCTCCCAGGGACCATCTCCAGTCTCCGGAGCTTGAAAAGGAGCACAGAAAGTGTTGGAAAGTCAGGACTTCATCGGCATCTTCTGCATAATGAACAGCAAGATAAAGCCACCTGCCAGGTTGAGTGAAACACATGAAAAGCGAGCCATCTCTACAGACCTGCTCATAGCCATTGTTGACGTCTGGAAGATTATGAACTCAGAGAAAAGCATTTGTGCATAACCTGGCAGGTACCTTGAGCAAATTATGTCATTTCTCAGAGTCTCTTTTCATCTAAGACTGGGGATGCTGTTAGTGATGAGGACCAAGTGATATTCTGCATACAAAGTGCTCCCAAAGAGTACCCAGAACAAGCAAGCATTTGATAAGCTGGGAAGGGATCCTGTTTTAGCTCTATGAAACTGAAAGTATCCACAGATACTAACTACCTATACCTATATTACAGTGCTGGTTCTTAAGTTTCATAGAAAAGCAAGTTTCACAACAAGTTCCAGGGTAGCCTGAATGACACAGTGACACAGAGCCTTATGATGGGGCATGCCTAGAAGTCTAGCACTGGGGAGGAGGGGGCAGAGGGAGTAGGTGTTCAAGGGCACTCTCAGCTACAAAGTAAGTTCAAGACCAGCCTGTTTACAGGAGACAGTCTCAAACACAAGTACCAAAACATAAAGGATAATATTACTTCCTGGCTTATTCGGGGAGCAAATTTCGTTTAAAAATAAGAAATATTGGTGTATTAAAAATGCCCATCACAGTTGACTAGGAAAAAAAATGAACTGAAAACAGACACTCATTAGATAAACCTGAAATAAGGAAATGCAAAACCATTCCACCAAGGGTGCCATGTTTAATTAGAATCTAATGAGAAGTTATTAATTACAAAGATATGTACCTGCTGCCAGTAACGAGCTACTTCAGGCAGATTCAGAGCCTCACAGAGATAAACCAAATTCAGAACATCTTTTTGGAAGCAGCTCCCACCAAAACCTGAGGGAACAAAATAAGCTGACAATATTTTCAGGTAAGACCCAGAAACTAAATCCCGAGGCAAAGCGTACACACCGTCGGCAACTTTTATTCAGATTTTAAGTAATAAAATTCAGATAGCAGAAATTTTTTTGCAACTACACGGTGAGTTTAAGCCAAGCCTGGGCTACGTAAGACCCTGTATCAAGATGAAACAACAAAGAAAAAGTGGCTTATAAATCATGTGACATTTATAGGTAATCAGCTCTTCAAGTACTTCCTGGCTCCCCGACACAGGTTTCATTAAAGCTACATTTGACCTTTGTCCTTTTAAAAGAGAACTTTCCTTTTTATTTACCCGTGAGTATTTTGCTTGCATGTATATTGTGCATGTTTCTCAGAGGTTAGATTCAGGCTGATTTAGAGAGGTCGTGGGAGTGCCAGAATAAACATGGGTCATCCACAAGAATAAACATTCTTAACCATTTCTCCAGCCCCAACTTGACCTTTTCCTCACATTTCTCTTCTATTACTTCTGTCACTTACCTGGCATGATTCCCTATGTCTCCTACTTTACTACAGAGTTAGTAAAATTCTAAGGTAAAGGGCCTGACGGTAAATATTTCCGTCTTTGTGGGCCATAAAATCCCTGCCACGACTGTTAACCTCTGCCACTGCAGCTCCAAAGTAGCCAGGAGAAGAGAAAGGCTGTGGGTGCGGGGTGACTCTGTCCCCAGAACTCTTGTGTACAATGGACTGTGGGGTGGATGTGGGCCAAGGTGTGCTAGCTCACCTTTGAGCTAGTGTAATTCAGCCTGCAGCCGGGAGGTCAAAACCTCAGCGTCAGAAACATCTGGCCTCAGTATTTGATTCTGAGCAAGTTACAAAACATTCCTCTAACGTGAATGCCCTCAAAAAAAAGAGTCACAGCACCGTCTTATTAATCCAGAGCACTGAAGATGTCAAGCACAGTGTCCCACATCTGTAATGCTGGAGCATGAGAGGCACAGGCAGGATAAGGAGCTGGAGGCCAACCGTGACTATAAAGCAAGTTTAGGCCAGCTGGGCTGTATGAACTTCTGTCTTCAAAGGAAAAAAAAAAAAACTTAAAGGGTAAAACACTGGTGAAGACGTGACACATAGTGTGTCTTTTATTAATAGTTTTATTATAGTTGGAGAAAACATCAGAAGGGCAGGGTAGTGACATATAGCCTCAAAAACAGTGTGTGTGTGTGAGTGTGTGTGTGTGTACACTCGTGGTGGTGGGACTGAATCCACGCCTTGGGCGTGCTAGGCAAGCACTCTAACACTGAGCCCTGTCCTACCTAACCCCTTTCTGTATGTTTTATTATGAGACAGGGTTTCACTAAGTTGTGCTCTATAAAGTATTTTTAGTGCTATAATACAGTCTAACTACCACCAATAATGGGAAATTTACTTTACAGCTAGAGTAAAGGAAATGTACAGACTGGGGTAAGGGCAAATATGTGTGGCCAGGCCTGGTGGCACATGCCTATAATTCCAATTACCTTGGAGGCTGAGGTAGGAGCATAGAAGACTCCTACCTGCCTGGGCTACACAAGTTCAAGGGTATCCTGGGCAACATATAACAGAGGCTAGCCTCAAACTCCCGATCCTCCTTCCTCTACTTCCTAAAGGCAAAGATAAGAGACGTCCACAGTATGCCCAGCTTCACTTAATCTTTACAACCTAATGGACGGTACTGTGTGGAGTCAGGGGATGGCCGGAGGGAGTCTGCTCTCTCATTTTTACAGTGAGTTCAAACTCCATTCACCAGGCCTGGGGACAGGGCCCTTACCCATGGAGCCATCTCCCAGGCCCTAGATTTGTGTTTTAAAGATTTATTTTATTTTATGTGTATGAATGTTTTGCCTGCATGTATACATATGTACCACATCCACGCCTAGTAAGTCAGGAGAGCTTAGGACGCCTGGAACTCGTGTCCAGATGCTTCCAGATGCTTGTGGGTTACCATGTGGGTACTGGGAATTATACATGGGTCCTCTACAAGAGCAGCCAGTACTCTAACCACTCAGCCATCAAACCAGCACCTCTAGAATTTTTTTTCTTTTTAAAATTTTTTTTTTCTTTTTGAGACAAGGTTTCTCTGTGTAGCCCTAATTGTCCTGCAATTCCCTCTGTAGACCAGGCTGGCCTCAAACTCACAGAGATTCACCTGCTTCTGCCTCCAGAGTGCTAGGATTAAAGGCATGCACCACCACTGCCCAGCAAATCTTTTAAACAACAACAACAAAAAAAACAGATGTTAGCCGGGCGGTGGTGGCGCACGCCTTTAATCCCAGCACTCGGGAGGCAGAGGCAGGCGGATTTCTGAGTTCGAGGCCAGCCTGGTCTACAGAGTGAGTTCCAGGACAGCCCGGGCTATACAGAGAAACCCTGTCTCGAAAAAAAAAAAAAAAAAAAACAGATGTTAAATTAAAAACAAACAAACAAACAAACAAACAAACTTCTCCCATAAAGAGGTCCCACAAACCTGGAAGTGTTAGTAACCCATTTACTAGAGAAATATGTAGAGAACATTTTGTTTACCAACGCTGGCTTTTAGAAACTTATTCCCAATTCTTTGGTCCATCCCGATGGCTGTTGCCACCTCCTCCACATCTGCGCCCGTCGCTTCACACAGGGCGCTTATGGAGTTGATGCTGCTGATCCTCTGGGCGAGGAAGGCGTTGGCTGCCTTTAGATAAAAGAGGGACGGGAGAAGGTGATGAACAAAAGAGCAACTTAGGCCGGGCAGTACATTCACTGAGGTGATGCAAATCTTATCACAGTATAAGAGATACTGACAGTGGAAGGCCGGTTAGAAAACACAACTTAAAATGGAAGGACTGGGATGCCATGCAGTGCGAACACGACTAACAGGTAAGGCTCAGGTTTAATCCCCAGCACTGAAAAATAGAACAAAGTAAATGCGAGGTGTGTGTGTGTGTGTGTGAGTGTGTGAGTGTGTGTGTGTGTGTGTGTGTGTGTGTGGTGATCCCCACAGTCAGGAAGCTGGGTTTTGAATCTGACGCTGGCCTGAGTAACATAGAATACCCTGCCTCAACACAAGAACACTGTAATGAGGGGTTGCAAGGTCTGCACTAACCAGCTTGGAAAGCTCTGAGGACCACGTGTTGGTGGTGAGGATCTTCTCCTTAGGAACCCAGTGCTCATACACTGCACAGAGTGCCCGGACAGCTTTCTGGCCCTCTGGGGTTTCATCCCCTCCGATCAAGACTCTGTCCGGGTTCTTCAGGTCCTTGATGGCTGTTCCCTCTGCCAAGAACTCGGGATTGGACAGGACCTAGAACAGCAATACAAAAGAAAGTTTTAGGAGAGAATGGATTGCAGGTAACTTTTAAGAAGAATTTGATTTCTTTCGTCATACCTGTAAGTTCAGGTTGGGCTTGGTGTTGGCATCAAATATGCGCCGGATGCTCTCTGCTGCCCGCACGGGGACCGTGCTTTTCTCAGTCACGATTTTGTACCCATTTGAATTCTGCACAATGCGGCGAGCGCAAGCTTCGATATACTTCAGATCTGCTGCCCGGCCTTTTCCCATGCCATATGTTTTTGTTGGTGTGTTCACCTAGTGAGAGCATTTGGGATGAAGAAGAGAGGGCCTATGAAGGCTGTTTGGTGCTTTCAAGATAGCCCAGACTATCAGTTAACTAACTAATCAACACCCATAATGGCCTTAACTCTCACAGAATAACACATTTTACATACATAGCCACTGAAAGAAACAACTGGAAGAATCAAGAGAGCTCTTGTGGAGAAGCTGCCGTACGTGTGCCAGATATGGGGTGAGCAGGTGGGTTCCAAGCTAAGTCCAGGAGACAAAAATGAATGCACAGGTTCCCACTCTAAAGGACTGCCTATTACATGCAAATATATTATCATGGTTAAAAGCACTATTATGCTTAAAAATCAGAAAATGTTAAGGAAGCAAATGGTTTGTAACTTTGTAAGTACTTTAAACATGGTGTATCTTTTGCTTATGAATATTCTGTACTATAACCATTGTTTCTGTAGTTTGATTAAAGTGTTTTCTTGGTGTTAGCTTTTTTGAAAAAAAAAAAAAAGAGCACTGTTATGGCTTAATACCAAATAAAACCATGAAGCTTTTACAGACAGACAGGTTTAAAAAATCACATGGCAAAGCAAATTACTTACAGAAATAAATACTAGATCGGCTTCTCTGATGGCATCATCAATATTGGTAGAAAAAAACAGATTTTTCCCTCGACAGGATTCGACTACTTCCTTTAGCCCAGGCTAGAGAAGGAAAAAGGGAAAAGGAGTTGAGCACTCAGTATTATCATCAGTCTTGAGAAGACAACCACAGAATCACCCTGGTCAAGAGGACGGTGGTGCTCTAACTTAAAGGTCTAGATTTCCTGGTAGTGTTTTTAGAATAGCTGAGGACGGCAGGGTATGGCCGTGCACACTTGCAGTCCTGACATTTAGAAGGCCGAGCCAGGAGAACGGAGTCTGAGGCAAGGATGAACTACACAGAGAATTTGAGGTCAGCCCGGGCTACATTGGGAGGTACTGTGAGCACCAAAAAAGAAACAAAGGGGGGCTCATACACAGAACACAGTAAGTAAGGCTGTCAGTGTGAAATGAAGCAAAGCTGAATTCACACAAAGATCAGCTGCTCTAAAATGCTGTGTCATTATTGACCATGTACCTGGGTGATGTGTTAACCATTAACTCCTCCGTATCAACTATTATCAGATCCTTCAAGGCCCTGTGATTTCAAGCAAACATTCTGCACTGTCATTATAAACGTAGTTCCCCCCACTGTGTGACTCATATCATCAACGTGATTGCAAAAGTCACTATTTACTTCATACAAACAGACATCAGGAAGTATTTTTCTAAGTCCTCCTGTAAGAAACACTGAAAATCTTTATTACTTTTTCCCCACGCAATTTTACTGGTAATATATTTATGTTAAAAAAAAATTGAGAGCTGGCTGTGGTGGTGCACGGCCTTAATCTCAGCACTTGGGAGGCAGAGGCAGGCGGATCATGTCTGTGGTTCGAGGCCAGCCTGGTCTACAATGTGAGTTCCAGGACAGACAGGGAAACACAGAGAAACCTTGTCTTGAAAAACCAAACCAACCAAAACAAAACAAAAAGAACCCTATATTTATTTTGGATATGGGAGTGTGTGTGTGTGCACATCAGAGATGTCCTTATTTTGTTTTTGAAGACTTTATGGAGGGTGGCGGAGAGATGACTCAGCAGTTTAGAGCGCCACCGGCTGCTCTTACAGAGAAATGGAGTTTGATTCCCAGCACACACATGGTGACTCACAACCATCGTAACAGTTCCAGGGGATCCAAGGTCCTCTTCTGACCTCCAAGAGCACCAAGCATGCGTACTGTCCATCTACATACAAACATGTATGTAAAACATTCATACATGTCACATCTATTCTTTATTACATTTTAAATTATTTACATTCATTTGTGTGTGTGTGCGTGTGTGTGTGAGAGAGAGAGAGAGAGAGAGAGAGTGAGTGAGAGAGAGAACAAAAGCGAGCGCACTTGCCATGGTGTGTGCTTGCCATGGTGTGTGCTTGCCATGGTGTGCATACGGAAGTCAGAGGGTGAGGATAACTCTGGGGAATCAGTTCTTTCCTACCACTCTAGGGGTTCCAGGATCAAACTCAGGTCATCAGGCTTGGCAGCAATGCCTTCCTCTGCTGAGCCCTTATCTCCCTGGCCCTGAGGCCTTTTAACATAAGCTTTGGGATGAGGAATAATTGTAAACTTATATTCCTGTTACTTAAATGTAAACAGGACCAGCAACATACATAAACCACTAAAACAAACACGGTGCCACTACCTGTCCTGGATGGATGCCTTTGGTTATTTTGACTAGGTTCTAGAAAATGAGAGAGAAGGTTATGGAGTTGGGATTTTGCAGAGAACATATTCAGTCTTCTGTTCAATGAAGAAATCTGGCAAAGCAAGACAAATGCCACACGTTCTAAATGATGGGAATGCTGAAGGAGCTGATCTCACAGACACAGAGTAAAACAGAAACTACCAGAGGCAGGAAAGTACGATAGAGTGTCGGATGAGTTCAGAAGTCCAGCTGGATAAGAAAAGGGACTTCTAGAGACAATAGCTGGTAACTGGGTTTTTGATTTTTGGGTTGGTTTGGGTTTTTTGTTGTTGTTGTTGTTGTTTTTGTTTTTTTCAAGACAGGGTTTTTCTGTGTAGCCTTGGCTGTCCTGAAACTTACTCTGTAGACCAGGCTGGCCTCGAATTTATAGCGATCTGCCTACTTCTGCCTTCCAAGTCCTGTGATTAAAGTTGTGCACCACCACCATCCAGCTGGCTGGTACCTGTTAATCAGATGTATTTTTAAATAGTTTCATAAAATTCTACTAATACAAGTAAATGATAAATGTTCCAGGGTGATCATTAAGCACTGTATATGAAATATCACACTGTATTCCACAAGTATGTACCAATAACTATGAGTCCTATACATAAAATGTTTGTTTGTAGGCACCTCCAGCTGGTCTGGAACTCAGAGATATGCCAGCCTCTGTCTCCCAAGTGCTAAATTTGGAAGAATTTTTTTTGAGGAAGGGTCTCTCTCTGTAGCCCTGGCTGTACTGGAATATGTATGATCTGTACACCAGGCTAGCCTTAAACGTAGAGATCAGCCTGCCTGTGTTGGAGTTAAAGGCATGCACCATGACACCCAGAGGTCTGTTATTTTCTGAGATGGGGGTCTCATGTATCCCAAACTGCCTCAAGCTCACTCTCGGGGGCCTGTTCCTCTGACTCCAACTCTTGAGTGGACCACCATGCCTCCTCTTAGGAAACAACGCAGGATTTGTGCATGCTGTGTAAGCACTCCACGACTGAGCAATACCCCAGCCCGTACACTTCTTTCTAAGGGCTTGTTATCTCAGCATACTTGACACAACTGTCACTGTATTGTCCTTAATTTCTTCTTTTTCTCTCTTGCAGTACTGGAGAGGAAATCCAGGGCCCGTCACACACTAATCATGTGCTACACTCCCATAACATTTCTTATCAGAAATCTTTATTGTATACTTTTAGCATTTTGTTCTTGATATAGCCCAGGTTGGCCTGGAACTCATTATGGATGTAGTTTAGTAATCCTCCTGCCTCAGCCTCTTATCCAGTAGAACACCTAGTTTGCTTTTCTTTTTTTCTTTCTTTTTCTTATTATCTGGAACCCAGGGCCATATGTTGGCTAATCAAGCTAGCATGAACTACACCCTAGCACTATGCAGAACCTTTGCTTTGTTTTGGGAAGGGTCTCTCTGTGTTGTCCTGCTTGGCCTTAAACTAGCTATGTAGACCAGGCAGACCTTGAACTTGCTTCAGTCCCCCTGAAAGCGGAGATTATGGGTGTTACGAGCATGCCCAGCCAGACTTTTTTCATTGACTTGGTTGCCATCATAGATTGCACAATAGTAGTATGTATAAAATAGTTAACCAACACTGTAAGAAAACAACAAGCACAAAAACAAGGAGCTGCTTCATATATAGTTTACCTCATAAATAGGAAGGGTTGGAGAATTCCACGCATTGATCCTTGCCTCGTTGACATCCACAACCGTTACCCTGATCTCAGGGCACATGTGAGCAATGACACTGCATGTGGGTCCACCGACGTAGCCCGCACCAATGCAACAGATCTTCTTAATCTCAACCATGGCTGAACTAAAAGGAAAACAATTAGCAATATTTTAGCATTGAAAACAGAAAACTGGACAAATCACTGGCATATTCATCACAAAATGTCAGATACTGGGAGACATTTTCTATGTTTACTCAGGAATTATGAAAATTTCCAGTGAAAAATATTGTTCCAGATGACTCAGCTTCTCCTCCACTGTGCTAGCACGAAAAAGAGAGAGTTTATAACAACTGATAGTATTGCACACGCCACAAAATTATAACGTCCTGATAGTTAGACAGTAAAGAAGTAGAATAAAAGCAGGCTGTGGTGGTAGATTCCTTTAATCCCAGCACTCAGGAGGCAGAGGCAGGTGGATGTGGGTTCAAAGATACCCTGGTCTACAGAGCAAGTTCTAGGACAGCACAGCCAGGACTACAGAGAATCTCTGTCTTGAAAAATCCAACAGAGAAGAAAAAGAAGGAAGATGAGGAGAAGGGAGGAGAGGAGGAAGAGGAAGAGGGGAAAAAGAGGAAAAGATGAAGGAGAAGAGGAAGAAGGAAAAGAAGAAGAGAGGAGGAAGAAAAGAAGGGGAAGAGGAGAAGATGAACAAAAGAGGAAGAGGAGGAGGGGAAAAGGAGGAGGAAGAAGAAGAGGGGAAGAGAAGATGAAGAAGGAGAAGAGGAAGAAAAGGAGAAGATGAGGAGGAAGAGGAGGAGGGGAAGAGGGGGAAGAAAAGAAGATGAAGAAGGAGAAGAGGAAGAGGAGGAAGAAGATGAGAGGAAGAGAAGGAGGAAAAGGAAGAGGAGGAGGAGGAAGAAGAGGAGGAGGGGGAAAGCCAAGAGTAAATTTATCCACCAGTGCAATTTGAGCTTACAAAGGCGAGTTTTCCAACAGGTTTAGATGGTCACAGATGTTGAGACTGGTTCTATGATTCAGATCCGTCTTTAAGATTAAGCTCCTGCTTGGCTAAAATTTATTCCTCAAGAATCACGTGGGTAACTTAATTCCCAATGCTAAAGTGCTTGGAGGTGGGGCACAAAAGGAGGAGTTTATGACTGAGGGCGCTACCCTGAATGGATTAATGCCTGTTATAACAGGGCTTACAGCTACAGGTTTGAGCTCATGCTGTTTTGTTCTTCCTCCAGGGAATGACACAGCAAAACAGCAAGGTGCCAGATGTCAGCCCCTCCATCTTGGTTTTGTCAACCTCCAGTACCCTGAGCCAAGACATTCCTGTACATTGTAAGCCATCCATCCCTGGTGTTGTTCTAGCAGCAGAAAATAGAGCAAAATGCCCCTTAAATACTTAAAATTGGCATCAACAGATTATTTTTAAGTATTGGACAATAATCTTAAGACTCTATTTCAACTTTAATCAGAAAACAAGAAAAGGCTAAAGGAAAGCATTTTCAAGTGTGTTTGTTTGCTGGTGTGCACACCTATGTGTGGGCATGCAGAGGCCTGTGGTCCACTTCATGTTCCTCTACTGCTCTTGAGCCTGGAGCTGCGGTTGTCCAGCCAGCAGTCCCTAGCCATACTGTCTCTGGCTCTTGTCTTTAGGGTCACACAGTAAGCACTTTATTGCTCTGCCATCTCCCTAGCCCAGGAAAGTAACTTCTGCAGTTATTAATACTGTTGCACTGATTTTAGTATGTTTTTAACAATCACTAGGTTTTACTACACCTAACTGATTGATACTAAAAACTTACAAGGAACTGATTCGTGTATAGGAATATCTGGTTACTCACTATAACTACCATCAAAATGACCAGTCATTTCAGTTTCTGCCAAGGTCTCAGACATCACCGAATCAAACCCATTCATGCAACCCAAAGAGAAGAAAAATAGTAATCAGAGAGCTTAACAACTTGTTGTGGATTCCTGTGTGGATCACAGGAGGTACTCTGGGTCAGCCTAATCACAGTGCTTCCCAAGAATGTATCTAGGTCTGTGGAAGAGTTTGCTCAGCATACATGACATAAGGCAGAGTTAAGAGTCTTAGAACTGCAACAGACAAACAAACTAACAGTTTTAGTTCCCCAAAGAGGGAAGCCTGGGAATTTTAGAACTCTACTAAGTATTCTTAATGATACACATAAAAGTACATTTTGGGGAGGAGCCAATTCTTCCTTCTACCACGTGGATCCCAGAGAGTGAACTTGGATCTTGGTGGCTAGAGCCTCTACCAGCTGAGTCATCCTTTTGGTGCCAAAGTAGAATGTTACAAGGAAATACCTCTCCAGACTCCTCAGTTCTATCCCATCCCTACTGACTGCTTCAGGCAGCTCCTTTGCTTTTTGTGTATACTCCTAGTGTACTTTGTCTAAGTACATGTTCTCATATATATTATATATATATATATATATATATATATATAATATATGATATACAATGCATATACATATATATGATACATATACACATAGGAACATATGTACATATATATACATATATACATGATATATATACACATATATATGATATACACTGCATATGCATATATACATATACACATACACATGTGCACATGTGTATGTGTGTGTGCTATAATCTTTTTGAGACAGGGTTTCTCTATTATGCAGCTCTATTCTGGAACTCTCTATATAGACCAAGCTGGCCTCAAACTTAGAAAGATCTGACTCCTGAGTGCTGAAATGAAAGGCATGCATCATCATGCCTGGCATAATCTTATTTCTGAACTGAAGAAACACCATATATAGTCTCTATATATGGCTTTTTTTTTAACTTACTGTATTCTACAGTCATATTCTCAACTTTAATGGTTAATGGTTATGCTGCATTCTTCTATGTGGATACACTTACCAAGAAATATTAAAACCATGCTAAGTCTAGTAGATCCCTTAGAAGCCTAAGCAAGAGAGTTAAAAGTTCTCTGTTAGCACTTGTGAAACTACAGAAATAAAACATTCTATTAAATAACCTTTAAGATTGCAAGACTTGCCTCAGTAAAAATACCAAGGGTACCCAGGCTGACTTCTGGCAGTCGGCCATCTTTCCTTGCCTCACCCATCATGCTTTGCCTACCCTACGTGAATGGAAAAGATGATGTTGGAAACACTAAGTAGCTCAGTTCCGGGCAATCTGAAAATCTCCTACCTTCAGGGAGACATGTTTGTAGCCTTCCCTGCAGCTGTCCCACCTCTGCACAAGGAAACTTGGGCATCTAGCTTCAGAAAAATTGCTTCGATTTGTTCCAGGGCCTAGTCCTTTCCTCCACAGAAACGTAATGTTTCCAAGCTGGGTCCGGTGGTGCATGCCTTTGGTCCCAGCACTTGGGAGACAGAGGCAGGTGGATCTACGTGAGTGTGAGGTGTGCCTGGTCTACAAAGCAAGTTCTAGGACAGCCGGGGCTACAAAGAGAAGCCCTGACTCAAGAAAGAGAGAAAGAGGCTGGGCGGTGGTGGTGGTGCACGCCTTTAATCCCAGCATTTGGGAGGCAGAGGCAGGTGGATTTCTGAGTTTGAGGCCAGCCTGGTCTACAGAGTGAGTTCCAGGACAGCCAGGGCTACACAGACAAACCCTGTCTCGAAAAACCAAAAAAAAAAAAAAAAAAG